ACATGACATACACATCTCCTGGTGAACAGGTAAGTCTTTTGACAATGCCCTTTGCCTTAGCTTTAGATATGCCTGTTGACAGAGAACTTGACCTTTGACCTGCTTTCACGTTTCTGAGCTCTGGCGAGATACCTTTTCACAATGCTTTACTTTTTCAAGGCCCGTGCTGCTTTATTTTTACAAGGCCTGAGGCCTATATCGGGTAAAGGCCCTTTTACTGGTCCTTGCACGGCCGGGCCACCCGGGAAAATAGCGTGACCCGGGCTGCCCGGTTGGTAGCCTACTTGTCAACACGTTTTTCCCTGGGCCTAACAGTTCTTACCATGCTCTACTCTAGAGAGTTCTCAGTACCTAGACCCTTTTTGTGTCCAGTGGCAGCTAACAGTACCTCTCTCTCCCGTCTTCACCCGAATACAACGCCCGGTCATTATAGCTGCATTTGGTGCAACTTCATGTCACGTACGGCAATAATTCCCGGGCGTTCTATTCGGTTGAAGCCGGTAGTACCTCTCTACTTATAGGTCTCAGGTTGGAATTTGTGGCCAGCAGCAAACAGGAAAAAGAGCATAAATTGGAACAACGTATATCCTACTTGGGTCAGGTCTCGCCTGGGCCTGGGCCCACACCCCGTTCGACTCCCGCCTGGGCCTGGGCCCACACCCTGTTCGAGTCCCCCCTGGGCCTGGGCCCACACCTTGTTCGAGTCCCGCCTGCGCATGGGCCCACACCCCCTCCTCATCAGCTTATAGTAGTCCCCTGAGAACAGACTCAGCCGCTCTTCTCTTGAGCCCGTGAATCTGCTCGCACGTGGCAGCAAAAGAGCTTGTACGGACCATTCAGCCAATTGACAGTGACCTGTGCTGTGGCATGATTAGCTGTGCATTTCATGTCTATTTCTATTTCCCGGTGTGAGTGATCCCGTGATGATGACGTCTCTCTTTTTCTTCTTTTTCTTCCTTTTTTTCCCCCCTTAAATCCTCCATTGCTCAATTTACGTATGTGTGTCATCCTTCCGGCGCAGGGGTCACGCTAATCGTCTCTTATCGGTCCAATTTTAACGGGGGTCCTGAAGGACTCTCTTCTTCTTTTCTTCTTTTCATTTTTTTTCCTTTTTTTTCCTTTTTTTCCTTTTTTCCTTTTTTTTCATTTTTTTTCGGATTAAACTTGAAACTGGCAGAGGACCCAGCGCAGGGCATGCTTCCAGCACCCGGGGTGGAACCAGAGGAGGGTCTGATTTTTTGGGATTAGCAAATTTTGCATGCCCTAAATTAAAAGATGCTCGGGTTTAGGGCATGCGAAATTTGAGCTGATCCCAAAAATCAGACCCTCTGGTTCCACCCCGGGTGCTGGAAGCATGCCCTGCGCTGGGTGCTCAAGTTCCAAGTTTTCCAAAAAAAAAAAAAAAAAACTAGCCGACTGGTCTCATCAGTCACTGTTTTGATTGGGAAAAGAACACCCGGGGGCAAGGTCCCACTTGCACGGATTAAGAGATTCTAGCCGTTGATCTGTGCTATCTACGGTCAATATCGCTTAATTCGTGTAAGTCGGACCTAGCCCCGGGTCAAAGCACGAAAAGGAGGAAAGAGGGGGGGGGGGAGTGTAAAGAAGTCCCTGTTTCGTCTGGGAAAAGAAGACCACGGTGATATAGAATACACCACCCACCCATACCAACTGGTCTAGCTCAGTTGGTACACCCAATGAACTGTTGGCGTCAACAGCGCCGGCACTGATGAGTGAGAGTGCATTTGGTGTTAATTGCCGGCGCTGATGAGCATTTGGTGTTGGCGTCAACAGCGCCGCCGGCACATGTAACCGGTGTGGCAACATCCGCACCAGTAGAATTGCGCCTGGAATTTACCAAAAAAAACAAAACAAACAAACAAACAAACAAACAAACAAACAAACAACAAAAACAAAAAAAAACAAAAGAAAAACAAAAAAAAACAAAAGAAAAACAATAAAAAAACAAAATAATAATAAAAAAATAAAAATAAAAAATAAATAAAGAGATGACGGCAATGGAGTGACGGGAGGAGCTCCCGACGTGAAGAGACGAGAGCATGATAGCAGCACACAAAGGCAAAAAGGAAAAAAAAAAAAAAAAAAAGGTACATGATAAAGAAGCAGCGATCGGAAGGATGTAATGGTATATCATGTCATCATCGCTTCTTTTTTTTCTTCTTTTTTTTTCGTTTTTCAAATCAGCTAGGGCGAAACTTGGAGTGAGGACAAGGGTGCCTCCACGGAAAGAAGATAATGGTCCGCAGAGTACTATCCAACTGGGATCTCTCTCTGCCCTGTTCCTCTCGCCATCTCTTCCCCCCTCACTTTCCGGCTCTCTTGTTGTTCTCTCCTTCCCGTCTCTCTCTCTCTCTCTCTCTCTCTCTCTCTCTCTCTCTCTCTCTCTCTCTCTCTCTCTCTCTCTCTATCTATCTATCTATCTATCTAT